AAGACTCAGCGAGGACACCAGCTACAAAATCCTGCCAGGCTCAGAGATCGAAAGACACTTGGCAGTAGCAGCGATACAAGTTTCTTGATGAGTGCTTCTGGCAGCCTGGGTTCTCTTTTCTGGGAGTTATGCCAGATTTCCTAGAAGGTTCTTCCTTATCCTAACATAGAAATGGATTTATGCAGGGTCACATCTGAATTGGGTATAGAACTCTTGAGGACCTCATATTTTTTGCACCATGCTTCCTGCTGATGCATATTTGGAGGGCTCTAAGATTGTTCTAGGGACCATTTATGGTAGCAAAGACTAAGGGGAAGATGCAAGAACATCGTTGAACAATACTCATTATCTCTTGCTGTTGGAATACAGAAGCTGTTGATTTCTCCCACCCTCTTAAGCCCCCAATTTTTGAACCCTCTATCAATTTAAAACATAAAATTAACACATAAATCAGAGCTTTTCTTAGCAAAGTTCTATTCTTCTTGGAAAAAAAATAGCCCATTCTTATTTGAAGTCTTATATTTTGTAAACCTAGAGGTGGCAGGGATCATCAACAGCTGGGCTTTGTGCAACATGTTGCCCTAGTACTAAAGGATATACAGGCCTATAACCTGCTTTCCAAGTCATCACTGGTAGCAAAGAGGCATAACACGGCCATCAGCTTTCTACCCTACAGTATCTTTTCTTTGCAGCCTTCACCCTCCCACTAAGCTGAGTCCTCATAGTTTGAGGTTTGAATAGCAGTTCCACACTTCTGCATAGTGATTTTTATGTTCAACTAAACTATTGTAATGGAGACATTCAAAATGCAGTGATGCAAACAATATAAAAAATTATTTTTCTCTTAACCATCAGCTCCATGTGATCATTTAGAGGTGGAGGTTTCTCCCATGTTGAGACCCGTGACTTCCTAAGGCACTGAATTTATTTGCACAGAAGAGTCTAGATCATCACTTTGAGTGCATTTTATCAATTGAGAACAAGGTAAAGACACACAAATCCAAGATGAGGAGCTTCTTCTTAAACTGTTAATGATCTTGGCTGCCGTCCTCACCTCTACACACATCTCACGTTCCCTAACGCAGCCATAAGGCCACATCTCCCCGAAAGGGGGGCTTAGAAGCGTACTCACTTCATATGCAGCCATTTGTCCAAGGAAACATTTTTCAGTAGAAGAATTTAGAAGTTATATTCTAGGAAGCAAAGGCAGGCTCCACTATGATTAATATTCTTCATTTTTATTAACTTATCCATGATTTCATAATTCTTTCATGTTCCACTTTCTCTGTTTCAGAGTTCTGAAAGTTAAAATTCCCTCTGGTGTGTCTGTATCATTGGGGATCGTAACTGCGGCTTCTTTGTCATACCCAGCCTCAGTACTGTTCTTCTTCCCTCCCTTACGTTCATCAACTAAAATTAAAAGTGAGCAATGTAGTAAAGCCACTAGATAGAGTTTGGTGCGACTGGCTTCACACAGCACACTTTGGGAAATAGACTCAGAGGCTTCCTCTCAGAAAGGGTGTTATTGATTTGACAAAGGCAGGGAGAAGCTTCTGTCAATGCCCGTGCTTCCTCTGTGTCCTCTGTCCCCATGAATGTCACTGCTGCTTGTTAAATCATTTTCTCATGACTGCCTCTTCTGGATCATGTAAGGAATCAATGTAACCACTTTCAGGGATTTGTTATACCTATGCGAGGATGCAGAATTGGGCTGCATCATTTCTGTTAAGATGAGTACGTGAGAGAGAAGAGATAAACTTCCAGCTACCAGCCAATGGCATTAACTTTCTACACTCTCAAGTCCTTGGAAGAATGGAGAAGACCACGTTCTCATACAGTTTTCCTAGACAGTTTGTATGTAAATATCCTGGGCAATGAGGGTTGAGCTGGGCAATACTTTTTTCAGTTTTTTTACACTTAATTTGAAGTTAGTGTACTATAAATGGCCTCCCGTGAAGGTCAAGATGAGTAACCTTTCCTCTGTCTCTTTTCATCTATAGTATATATTAATATATATTTACTTTTGTTCTCTTTTTGTGCTTCTCTTTCTTGACTGACAAAAAAGAGATCAAGTACTTAATATAATAGGACCTATTTTCATGAGGGATAATGACAACCATTCCCTTCAATCTAACCCTTTGACATCTCTCCCCTATCTTTAGACCTTATACAATTTTGGTTTTGGTGTTAAGCCATTTTCTTGCCATAATTTATATACTTAAATGAAATTAAGTATAGTATTAGTAATTAAGTATTAGTAATCTTGAGATAATTTATAAATTAAAGCTCAGATGGAGGACAATGATCAATATCTAACTTTAAACCAATAAGTGTATTTGAGAGAAAATATAATGTATTGTAATTGTTTATAGATACCTCAGTAAGATCAAAATATATTAATTCATTATCCAAATACTAACTTAAAATAATTTTTGCTTTTTGTGTAGTATTTTAAAAATGAGTAGTTGGTTGTATAGAGTTCCTCATTTAAATGGTATCTAACTTTCCTGTGAACAGTTTATTCTTTTGTTTCATACATATTTATTGGGCAGCTATGATATGCCAAAGAGTGTTCTAGAAATCTTGAATGTTGAGAGTAAATGAATAAAAAAAGAGACCAAGTTCCTCTACCAAGAAGCTTATATTCTATAAGTGGGAAACAGCCAATAAGTAAACAAACAGATGTGTGTTTGTGTGTTTGCGGATACGATGTATCCAGCCGTGATTAGTATATGCTGAGATAAACAAAGCCAGGTACAGATGGGCAAGGATTGATTAAAGAAAACTTTCATAAATGACATTTGAGCTCTAACATCATGAGAAAAGGAAAAGTCGGACATTTACAAAGAGCACATTCCAGGCCGGGGAAATAGCAAATGAAAAGACCCTAAGTCAGTAATGGGCTTGTTATTTTCAAGAAACAGCTGGGCTGCCAGTGAATCCACAGCACAGTAGGCAAGGAGAACGTGGTAGAGGGTGAGCGCTGAGAAATGCTGGAGTGGCAAATTATGGAGGCAAAGTAAGAATGTTTTATTTTTCCCCTTAAAGGTTATGAAGAGCTTTTGCTGGATTTTGAGTAGAGAACTCCTGTGATCTAAGTTACTTCTATGAAAATGCCTTTGACTGCTCTGCGTGTAACAGACACAGACCTAGCAGGGCACAGACCAGTGGGAAGGATATTGCATTTGTTTAACTGAGAGATGGTGATGACTTTACCCAGAGTCACAGCTGTGGAAATGTTTGGACATGTTGAGATTCTGGGTGCATTTTGTGAGAAGTGGAAGAATTTATAGTTGTATTGCACATGACGTGTGCGAGAAATGAAAGAACTGCACTTTTTTGGCATGAGTGGTAATAATCAGGGTGTTGTCTCTGATAAAGATGGGAAGAAGGCAAAAGGAGCAGGACAGAGTTGGACAGAAAATTAACATGTCTGTGTTTCTATATGCTGTTTGACATCTAAGCAGAAGCGTGCACTAGACAGTTGGATACATGAGACCAGGGTCGCCGGGAGGTGCCCGTGCTGGGGACACAATTTGGAAGTCATCAGAGTAGAGGTGGTATTAAAGCCATGGTGTCAGGAGAGATTGCCTAGGGAGTATGAACAGAAAAGAGAGAAATTTTAATAACTGAGTCCCAGTGGTCTCCAGGAGTCAGTGGTCGGGAAAGTGAGAAGTCACTAGAAGGGAGGAACGAGGTGAATTCAGAGACGCCTGAGAGGAGATCGCAGAGCAAGCTCATTATTTGAAGGAGCAGGAAATGATCAACTGTGTTAAATGGGGCTAATGTAGAATAGGACTAAGTCTTGACCACAGGATTTGGAAAATACCAAGATCTTGATCAGAGCCGTTCAGTGGAGCAGGGGGACAACAGCATGAACAATCTTCAAAGGCATGTGCAGGAGGCAGTGAGATGAGTGAGCAGAGGCACCTCTTTTCAAGAAAGTTCACTATAAAGGGACAAGGAAAAGGACAGTCGCTAGGAGGCATGTAGGTGAGAGAGGGCGTTTTATTTCTTTTTATTATTATTATTTTTTTAAGACAGAGTCTCACTATGTTGCCCCCGGTAGAGTGCCTCAGTGTCACAGGTCACAGCACCCTCAAACTCTTGGGCTTAAGCAATTCTCTTGCCTCAGCCTCCCAAGTAGCTGCGACTACAGGTGCCTGCCACAACACCTGGCTATTTTTGTTGTTGTTGTTGTTGTTGCAGTCCTCATTGTTGTTTAGCTGGCCCAGGCCGGGTTCGAACCCACCAGCCTTGGTGTATATGGCTAGCACCTACTCACTGCGCTATGGACACCGAGCCAGGAGGGCATTTTAAAGATAAGAGATATATAAGACATTTGGATGCTAGGAGGAATGATACCTTAAAGGGGGAAACTGAGGCTGCAAGATAAAGTGAGGACCATTTTAAGGGTGGGGAGACAGTAAGTATCCTTTGAGTAAGAAATGGAGGCAGAAGACTTTTTTACAGTTATTGAAATATCCTAGCATCTAGCAAAATATTGGGTGTAAATAAATAGCTCACACATTTGGAATGTGAGCAGACATGATGTAGAAGGGACAGAGGAAACTGTAAATATAGTTTTAGTGTTTGACAGTGGAGATATTGATGCACATTTCTGAAGACAACAGCATTAAAAGCCGTATATGAGTGCCCAGATTGTCATCTTATATAGAACTTTCTTCTTGGAAATAGGACTTTTATAACTCGCTTCTTGACAGATTTTGAAGTATTATACTTGTGTTTTAGGGGGAATTTGATTTATTAAATTGGAGGATAGAGGTAAAGATGTACCGAGATGGCATGAAGAAAATCACAGCACTCCTTGTCAATAATCTGTACTTTTCTTACTGAAGATTTCCTTAGGATTGTGTTTTATGCCTAGCAGTTCCTGGGGTATTACCTTAACACACATTTTGCTTTCACATTCCACATGCGTTTCTGGGTTGCTTCCTCCTGATTGCAGTAACATTGATTGCTGTCTAAATCTGTTGCAGTGTGCCTGAGTACTATGACTACGGTCATGGAGTAAGTGAGGATGCCTATGACAGCTACGGTAAGACCTTTTCTTTACTAACACTGTGAAATCGGAACATCCCTCAGTCACTGACAACTCAGAAATTATCTCTCTCTTTGTCCCCCCCAGTTTTTACAGAAGTCCAGGCTAAGTTGATTTATGTAATTCCAGGGCGAGATTTGACTTATAGAAGCAGTACCAGAAAATTAAACAGATCAATGTTGATCCAAAGTTCAAAAGTAATTAATCACTATCATAGATCGTTTTCAACAGCAACAGGGAGCAATTTCAATAGTGTCTTACATGAGTCACTGTGTCCACTGTCTGAGTCATTGATTTGGATTTGACCACAATATTGTGTTTGTTCCCAAGCACCATCACAATAGTATACACGTAAAGTCCTGCATTTAAAAACTCTGAAAGGCAGAAGTTGTTATTATAAAATAGTTTTCAAAGTTATTTTTCTAGCACGCATAGCCAAATAATGATTGATTCATAAGAACTGATCATCAATTAACATGTCAGTCTATGAAGTTAATTAATTTCAAAAATATATTCTTTAATTAAAATATCACTTAAAATTAATCATAATTATATTCATTAAACATTTATTGACTGCCTAAATTATATCATTATAGTCAATATAGTATATCATTTTTGAGGGGTAGTTTGTCTTTTTTTAAACATATTTATGTAGTTCTGGCTCAGCGCCTGTGGCTCAAGTGGCTGAGGCGCCAGCCACATACACCTAAGGTGGTGGGTTCAAATCCAGCCTGGGCCTGCCAAACAACAATGACGGCTACAACCAAAAACTAGCCAGGTGTTGTGGCGGGCGCCTGTGGTCCCAGCTACTTGGGAGGCTGAGGCA